TACACCGTCTAGTAATTACACTGACCTGTTTGGTTGCCACAGTGTAATTACACTGTAATTACACATGTCCTGTTTGGATGCCACAGTGTAATTACACATGTTCTATTTGGATGCACAATTGCAATCATAAAATTATAATAAATTTTAAAAATAAAAACCAATTATTTAAAATTTATACTAGACAAATAAGAAACTTTATAAATGACATTAAATTAAATATTTAAGATATATATTCTTTTTTGAAAATATATTAATTAGTAAACATATTTTCTGTAACTAATATTATGAAAAAATAATTGATTTATATTTTTTCAAATTAATATATTTCAATTGAATTGATCGTAACAACTAAAAGTATGAAGTTTCTACGAACATCGTGAAATGCATGTTTGATAAAAAGAATACTATATAAATAAAATGTCATAAACTATTAAATGTTTGACAAAAATATAATCTACAAGTCTAATTAAAAGTCACGTGCAATGTAAATTCAATATTACTAAAACAAATGAAACTGAAAATATAACATAGGTTATAAATTCAAAACAAAAAATTTAACATAATACTCTTATAACAAATTTCAACATAGCAATAAATATGATTTATTTTTATTTTTTCTTAATAAAGAAAATGTAAGTCTATAACCTTACTTAACAATAAATTTTGTTTTAATTTAAAAATTAGAATACTAATAAAATTATGCTAACGAGAAAATAAGCATGGTATAAAGAAATAGATAATACAAGAAAATTACATAGAATCACGTAAAGTAAGGTTGAGAACAAGAAGAAAATGAAATATAATAATATAAAATAAAAAATAAACTTTTGTGAATTTTTAGAATAATAAAAATAAAAAAGAACTTAGAATAATAGAAGTAAAAAAAATTAAAATAGAAATAAAAAAAAGAAATTAAAAAGTTATCATGTGGTAACTAAGGGTGGCAAACGGACCGGTTTTTATCCGGTCCGGTCCGGTTCCCGTACCGGTAAGACCGGTACCGGTTGAACCGGTAAGGAACCGGTCTTATAGGAACCGGAACCGGTACCGAAACGGAACCTGGATTTTTATCCGGTTGATCCGGTCCGGTTCAACGGTCAATTTGAATTTTATTTTATTTTATTTTATTTTTAAATGTGAACGTTAAAGGAGCCGTTGGGCCCTTTTAGCCGTTGGGCTGGGGCCCAAAACGGCTCCAAACAGCCCCCCCACCCCTCTCTACCCCTTAACACTATAAATATATCATATTTTTTCATTTAAATCACAAATTCACAAACTATAAATATCTTATAAAATCTCTTAATTTTCAATCTCTCATAAATTCATAATTATTATTTTGTGATATTGACTTGGAGTTCGAATTTCGGAGATTTATTTGAAGTAAATCGGAAGCTTCAATTGGCATCTCTCAATTCCGGCTTTGGTTATACGTCTACTTTTACGTAGACATTCGGTACATTCGTTCCAACTTTAATTTTTTATTTGTTTATTAATTAAGTTATTCTATTTTTTTGTTATATTATCTTTGCTTGTTTTTCATAATATTAATTATTTTAAACTTGAACATGAATTTTGAAAAATATAGTGGTAAAAGACCAATGTCGGAAAGAAAAAATAATAGGGGAGGAGGAAGTAGTTCTAATTCTAAAAATTTGTCACCTCCTAGATTTAGAATTAATACTAATGATTATACTCATGTTGATGAAACTTCTTTTACACGAGACTCACGACCTATTGAATTTAATTCCGAAAATGAAGTAGATCATAAAACTTTAAATAGATGTTTTACTAATTTTGAGGAAGAATTAGATGAGGAAGTAGAAATAAATGAGGAAGATGATGAGACCCCTACCCCTACTAGTCCGGCTACCGAATTACCGGAACAAGATGAAGTCCCCTCTTTACCTACTTTTTCAAAGACCGTTGTACGTGTTAAAAGATCTTTAGTATGGAAATTTTTGGTACAAAATGAGGAAAAAACTACTGTTACTTGCACGAAATGTAAATTGATCATGAAACATGTACCTACGGGTACACAAGGGGGAACGGGACGACTAAGAACACATTTGAGAAAGTGTAATAAAGAATTTGCTCGCCTAGATGATATAGAAAGGGCTAATAGAAATGGAATACCTCAACCTGAAAATTCTATGGGAGCTGGAGGTTCTAATATGGTTCAAAGTGTATTAAATATGACTAACCCGGCTAGCCGAAGCACACACCGCACATATAGTAAAGAAAAAGATCGTAGAGAATTAGCTAAAATGGTTGCTGTTTGTGGTTTGCCTTTTTCATTTCCTTCATATCCTGGTTTTATTCAGTATATTCGAGAATTGTATAACCCATATTATGAAGGTATTCCAAGAAGTACAATTAAAAGTGATCTTTTTAAATATCAAAAAGAATATTGTCATTTTCTTCGTTGTTTATTTGTTTATTATGATGGTAGATTATCTATTACTTCTGATATGGGACGTAGTCCTAATGGTAATGATTATTTTACAATTACTGTCCATTGGATTGACCATGAATGGAACATGCAAAAACGATTATTAAGATATAAATATGTTGAAGAAACTAAAACCGGTGCTTATATAGCAACAAAAATAGGCCTTGTTTTACAATTTTATGGAATATGTGATAAAATAATGAGTGTCACTTTAGATAATGCTTCTAATAATTTGAAAGCAATTGATTATTTAAAATGTAGACTTTGTCCAATTGATAATGATTCTTTTCATATTAAGTGTGCCGCACATGTGTATAATTTGATAGTAAAAGATGGTGTTTCTCAATTTGGAATTTCTTGTGAAAAAATTAGACTTGCTTGTAATTGGATTTTTAAAGCTAAAATAAAAGCTAGAATTACAGAATTTAAAAATCGTTGTAAAGAATGTGGACTTGAATATAGAAAAGTTCCAAAAGAAGTATGCACTAGATGAAATTCTTTATTTGAAATGCTTCAAGTTGCTTATATTTATCAAGAGCCGGTACAATTAGTTTTTAATGCTCATAATGCGGACCCGAATTTGAGAATTGGCTATGAAGATTGGGAAAATACAAAAGAACTTATTGAATTTTTAAGTGTTTTTTATAAAGCAACAAATGCTGCTTCTGGTCAATATTATCCAACTATTTCTTCTGTTTTAGTAAATATTTGTGCTATTTCATCTGAATTTGCAAAATATAAAGGAAAAGATCGATTTGAAAATTCCCTTGCTTTTATGATTGAAAAATTCAAAAAATATTTTTTTCCTATTCCTCAAATCTATTTGACTGCTACTACTTTCAACCCAAATTACAAATTAAAAGGTGTTGAAAGAATGGTTGAAAAGATTTATGCAAATTTAGAAATTAGAGATGATGAAACTCCTAGTGTTGAAGATTGTAAAAGTAACATATATATAAAAGCTAGAGAGTTATATAATACATATAAATCTATGGAAAAAAATATTCCAATAGTTGAACCTCCATCTTGTAAACCTAGAAGCGATGATACGGATGATTGGATGGATGATTATCTTGAGCTTGAATCATCTACTAATAATGATTTTGATTTATATTTCAATCAGGCACGAGAAAAGATTAGGCATGAAGAAGGACAACTTCAAGCTCCAATATTAGTATGGTGGAAGAATCGTGAAAATCAATTTCCGACCCTTGCTAGGATTGTTCGAGATGTGCTAGCGATTCAAGCATCATCGGTCGCTTCGGAGCAAGCCTTTAGTGCGGCGAGATTTATGATTGGAGATCATCGATATTCATTAGCAAAAGATAGTTTGGAAATATCGGTGTTGTTTCGAGATTGGGTCAATGCCGAAAGAAGAAATACCGGACTACCACAATTAAATAGCCAAATAGAAGACGAAATAGATGAAATATTTGGTGATAATAGTGATGATGGTATGGAAGCAATGGAAGAAGAACGACAAATACAAGTTCCAAAAAATGTTTCTTTTGAAATGATACAAAAGTTACGAAAAGATTTTAAAAAGAGTTTCAATTGTTAGTACAATAATTAATATTCAATACCTAGATTATGTACTCTTTGTCTCTTTCTAATATTTGTATTGTACAATTTATTTATTTGAATAAATATACGGCTATTCGCCTTGATTTTCTTTTAAAATAGTCTCTTATATTTAATCCAAGTCATTTTAGAAATTTAATTTTCAACTATTTTAATATTAGTTTAAAGTTTAAACTTTAATATAAAATTGAATTTTAAGATTTAAACTTTAAATTCAATATAAACTTTAAACTTTAAACTTTAAAGTCAATTTTAAACTTTAAATTCAATATAAAGTTATAAACTTTAAAATTTAAAGTCAATTTTAAACTTTAAGTTTAAAGTTTAAACTTAAATTCAATTGAAACTTTAAAGTAACTTTAAAGTTTAAAGTTTTAAATTGAAGTTTTTTAATAATATAATTTTATTAATTAATAATATAATATTATATAATAATTAAAGTTAATAAAAAAATAAAAAAAAATTACCGGTACAAAATGATCCGGTAAGAACCGGTATCGGTCCGGTCCAAACCGGTTCCAATCCGGTAACTAAGGGACCGGACGGAACCGTTGGAAATTTCCGGTAAAACCGGTTCCGATAAGACCCGGTTCCGGTAACGAAATCCGGTAACGAGGACCGGTTCCGGTAAAACCGGTCCTGTTGACCCGGTCCTGTCCGTTTGCCAGCCTTAGTGGTAACTACACCATGTAATTACCAGCAATTTACAACCTCTGCCCCTGCCAATTACACCAATTACCTACTGACCAAGTAATTACATGTCCTTTCAAACAGGATAAGACAGTGTAATTATACCAATTACACCAAATTCAATTACCAGAGTATCCTTCCAAACAGGCCCAAAGAGTTTTTAAACAGGCTCTTAATAGCCTAAGATTTGAAAATCATCCTGTAATAATAGCTGTTCAAATTCGTATATGATTATGAATTTCCCACGAATTACCAAAGATAAAAAAAACACAGGTTCACAAAGCCACTTGTTTCTTCCAAAGAGCAAAAATGGCAACCTGCTTCTTCTCTTTTCCAAATTCCTTCCCTTCTAAACCCAAATCCCACAAAAGACCCATCCATTCTTCTTCCCTCACATCTCAATCCCAAAAAACCCATCTTCTCAACCTGATTTCAGACCAAGAACGTGGTCTCAGGACTCAATCTGACCCCCAAAAGCTTTCACAAATAATCCAGGCTATTGATGATTTGGGTTCCATTGGACGTGACACTGTAACTACTGGAAGTTCCCTTTCGGCCACTTGGCGTTTGCTTTGGACTACCGAGAAAGAGCAGCTTTATATTATTAAGAATGCCCCCTTTTTTGGTACTAAAGCTGGTGATGTTCTTCAGGTTATTGATGTTGTGAATAAAACTCTTAACAATGTGATTACTTTCCCACCTGATGGGGTTTTCTTTGTTCGGTCTACTATTGAAGTTGCATCTTCTCAGCGTGTGAATTTCAGGTCACTATCATTCTCTCTTTGATATATTTGTTGGAAAAATAATAGGGATTTGATTGTATGCATATTTTATACTTAGGATTCTTTGTAAAGAAGGAAACTCTTAGGTGCAAAATTATAGAAAACATACATGTTAACTCAGTGGTATACCGTTCTTTGTATTGAAGAGAACGCTACCCATCTTATATTCTTTGATTACTTGTTATTGGCTTCCCATCTTGTATTGTCCATGGTCTAGATGTACAGTTATGGGATTGTGGGTAGTGTTGAATCATACATTAGTGGGGGGAGTGAGGACTCATACATCAGGGGGGATGGGAGTTATGTGACTCTTTATAAGGACGATTCTCACCTTATGAGCCAGTTTTTGAAGTTGAGTTTGGCCCAATCTCAAGTTCTTATTGACGGATGGTAATGCCAAGAGGAACATTTAATCAACAAACAAGACATTGTTGGAAAGAAAAATGAAGTAAAGTGGAAAGTGAACAGAAAAATAGAGCAAAAGAGAAGTAAAAGTTACTGCAGTCTTCTTTTTCTTATTAATGATGGAAGCAACAAAGACCTGCCTCAATAAATAGGCTTCCTGTAAAACTGAAAATACTAAAATCTAGGTTCACTAACCGACTAATTACTAATTAGCTACTAATATATCTAAACTTGCTAAGATAAAGGAAACTAATAAACAAACTCCTGAAGACTTGGTCAAGTAGCTTTTGAATCACTTCTCAACAGACATTAGAGTTGATTATAAAAGAAGAGATAAATGGTTTGGATGCAAAAAACCGGTTATGTCAATCCTCTAATGTTCGCTCAAATAGATTTCAATTAAGAGTGAGTAAAGAAAAGGGACTCTTAAATAAAAAGCCAAGATGAAGAATTCTGATGTAGAATTTCTGTAAAGTGGGATAGGTATTTATTGAGATTCAACAAGTAACTAACATACACCTTCTCAAGAATAAATGTAACCTTTAAGATAAGATGGCAATTGTTCACAAAGTAGGTGTATCCTATAAAGAATGGGCAACACTTTTTCACAAAATATTGTGTCTTGTCCCAAAAGGTATATTTTAATTTTGAATCATTTCTAAATAGATACTAACAATGTTACTGCCTGGATAATTCTGGAAACAGTTTCGTAAAAATACTTTGGAAAAAACAAGTTTGTAAAGAAGTATTGGTTTGGAGCAGGGTTAGCACCCAAAGGGTAGCGGCTGCGGGTTTCCCTTGTCATAAAAAAAAAGAAAAAAAGATAGTAGTTACTGTTTTTTGAATGTTATGTGACTGGAAGAAAGGTTTTTATTGTATTTCACCCTGACATCTTTCGTAAACAGTTTTTGAAAAGAAAACTTTTTGTAAACATTTTCTGGAGAAACTTAAACAGGAAGTTTCTGGACAAAATTTTGCACGATGTCAATAACTTTTCCATGGTCAAACAGCACAGTATCCATTTATCACGTTGAAGTTTGTAGACCAGTAGATAGAGAAAAGAAAAAAAGGTAAGAATCCATTAGTCCACATTGTTGTTGCTGCATTCTTAGTGAATGAGTGTATAGATCAGCAATTTAGAAAAAAAGCTTAACGCAAGTTAGATTTGGAAAAGGCTTATGATCGTGTGAACTGGTCATTCCTTACGCAAATTACATATGATTGTTTCCATACTGTTTATTTGGGTCATCCACTTGGTGCCAAGCACAATGATGTGGGAGTGTTCAAGGGGTGATTGGCAAGTGTGTGAAGACAATGGCTCCTTGGAAAAAAACAAATTTCATCTTTTGGAGGTAGACTTACTTTGATGAATGGTGTGTTTAGATGGTGTGCCAATTTATTTAATGTCGCTTCTGTCTATCCCAACAAAAGTTGAGAAGAAAGTGAATTCCCTGAGAAGTGAATTCCTATGGGAAGGCAAATTTAAATAGAAATTTCATTTAGTTAAATGCCAGTCGGTGATGAGAGACAAAAACGATGGTGGTTTGGGGGTCAAGAATCTCGCAGACTACTAATATGTGGGATGATTTCCAACAAAAATTATGTATAAGATTGGTAATGGGTTAAAAATAAGATTCTCGTTGGACAAATGGATGGAACCTGAGAGATTGAAAGTTATTTTCCCCACACTGTATAGTCTAGTTTAAACAAATATTGCTTGATAGCTGATTGGAGAGGATAAAAAGTTAATACCAAAGAACAAAAAGTGTCCTCTCTCGAATTTGTCACTGTTAGTCATTGGTTTCCTCTTTTCCCGCAGTGGAGATGCAGATAGAGGACCTTAGGGTCCCCCCCAACCCAAACCCGACAACTCCTCTTTCCCCCAAATCCCACATACTTTTTCCCCTATCTCAATTTTCCCCTCTTTCTCAAGCTCCCCAAGCTAACTAACAAGACCAACCCCTTCTAATATCGAACTAAAACTCTTTATTACCATTCACTGGATCGACTTTGAGTGGTCCCCAAAAGGTTAATAACTCTCCTCAAGAACAAACCAAATCTGGAAACCCTTGCCAATCGAATGAAACTCATCAATTTGGGAAGAAAAAGATGCAACTTTTATGGTTAGAAACAAAAGATGCTTTGAAGGAAAAAAAAGCAGCTACTCTCTTATGTGAAAGACAGATGTTTACAGGGACTTTTGTCTTGGTGTAAGGATAGGGAAATGGAAAATGTAAACCAGCTTTTTGATTTTTTTTAGACTATGAATTTGATGTAGTTGTTGAAAAAGTATAACTTTCACCTTTTTCGTACTCTTGCAGTACCTTTTTGGTGCTCATTATTAAAACTTTACTTTAGTTAATTAAATGTTAAGTCCAAATTACAGTAATTTAACTTGGATTGTTGCATTTCATGATAACGATCTTTTCTGGACGTGGATAAAGAAGTTAGTCGATCTTATAGTGGGGTGAGACGTGCCAAATAGAGATGATGAATATTGAAGATTCATTTGGGGTTGAGGCATTGTTGTTTGTTGTTGTATGCTAATAAACTTTTCTGGAACAGACTCTACAAGTTAGGTGAGTCACCTAAAAATTGGTAAATTTACTTCTAGTTAGGGGTGAGAAATTTCTTGAAACATTAGAGAATACTGATAATAGGACAGAGATAGTATTTGCTTGTCTTGCAACAGTTGATATACTTTGTTCTTTATCATGGTCTATTGACAATTGCTTCTATGTCGTAGATTCACAAGTGCAGTTCTGCGTGGAAAAAATTGGGAATTTCCTCTACCTCCATTTGGACAAGGGTGGTAAGTATTTGTATTCTTTAATTGTCTCGATTAACAGCATTTATAATCCACCAAGTGATATATGGTATATGAGGAGTTCTCCATATAGTTGATTGCAAGGTATAGTGCTTAGGAAGTTGAAGTGCCTTTCAAAGTACTTTATCTCAAGCATTTGCTTCGTCCTTTTTTTCTCTTTCTTTCCCACTTATCCGCAATTTTCTTGCTCGAGTCAGGAAGTGTCTTCAGATTACTATTTGCTTGGGTCAATGATGATTTGAATAACCTTTGTATAGGTTTGAGACTGTGTACCTTGATGATGATATTCGAGTAGTCAAAGATATCAGGCAAGACTACCTGATTGTTGAACGTGCTCCTTATACTTGGAAAGAATGATTGTCGGATTTGTCTTCCGCTATCTCTGTACATAAATTTTACTGTAAGTTTCTTTCTTTGAACTCTCATCTTCATGCTGATATAACTGGAGAGATTATGTTTCCTATAATTTTTATCCTTGTTCTGAATGTATAGGTGCTGTACCATCCTCTTTGTAACCATGATTTTTGTAATGTTAAGCGGAGACATTTAATTTATTGTCATAAGACTGAGTCACTAATGAGGCAGAATTTGTACCTTCAATTATGTGAAATATGTAAATAAATTTATTCAGTATTACCTCTATGTTGACAATGTATGACTTATCTTTTTAACTGATTTAATTGTGTATCCTTCTTAGTTTTGCACGATCAGTTTATCTCCAGTACACATGTCTCTGGGTTTCCTAACGTTGCTAAATCAACTAAGTAGCTTGTCTGGTAAAAAAAGGGTAATCTTCTTCGAAATGTTTTTGTAAATATGTAATACATAAAGACGACCCAACCAGTTTTGTAAGTCCATGTAGGAATACGTGTGAGAGTTAGAGGACCTTTGCAACCTCAAGAGGATTCCTTTAATTTCATTTTGAGAAATATTTTCATTTGCACTACAGCAGTAACTAAGTTACCAACCTCAAGAGGAGGATTCCATTTTGTTTTGAGAAATAATTTTGTATGTGCTAAAGAAGAAACATACTTGGTACATTCCTTTTGATTTTAAGAAATTGTTTCACTCGTGCTAAAGCAGTAGCATACTTAGTTCGTTTCCCTTTTCATTTTTAGAAATGGTTTCATTCACATTAAAACAGAAACATGCTTGATCTGTATGGGCATGCTGGGCAGGTTGCAACAAGTCGCTAGTCAAAGTTTTGACCAATCACAATTCATTACTATCTTGCCTGTTTCTTATTGATGACTGGCTAGAAAACACCTAATTTTCCCTACATTTATAAAGGGCTAATCTCGTACTTAGTTTCACCTACCAAACATGGGAGAACTGAAACATAGTCTTGCTTTTAGTACCCCATTGACTTTCCAAATTGATAATAGTTTTCTTTTCCAAATTGCCATACAAACTATCCCTTGGTTTTTTTTGGTTGTGGTCATGTAGTTGTTTTTCCATTTTCTTCTCTAAACGTAGACAATTACGGAAGATTATTATATTACATTTATTCATCTGAACATGGAAACACCTTTACATACATCAAGAATTTACTTGAGTTTTGTTATACAATCCTTTTAAGGAATAGGAATAAAAGAACATAGCTATATTGTTGACATTGAAATGTGAAGATGGCCATATACAATAAGATCTTCATTTGTGCACTTTGTATTCTCACTGTGATTGTAGCACTGTGTTAAGTTGATTAGTGCAAGAGCTTTTCCACCGTATGGCCTAGTTCAATTGAATCTCTTCTTACAATCATGACTATTATTTATTATTTTATTTTATAGTGTAAAATCTAGACTTGAAGGTAAAGCAATTTGTTTTGATTGTATTCTTATGAATTGTGATTGAGAAGTCATTTAAGTTGTGCCAAAGTTTGAATATTTTGGTTCCTATAGTTTTTAGCATTATTTGTCCCTTGGTTATCCAAATATAGCAAACCTGTATTCTCACATTTCCAATTAAATGTAATGGAGAACGAGGCATTTCAAACAAAACTATCCACTTTACTAGTCCCATAGTTATCTCTCCGTTTCATCTAGTTGACATTTATTTGAGATTTCAAACGAAGTATAAAAAAGTGCACTTAAGTTGATGAATGGGAAGTTTTTGTTTGCGTTGGTAGTCAAGGATATTCTGGTTAAAATTAAAGGAAAAACAACTAAATTTAGAACAAAGTGGTGTAGGTTCAGGTGGGTGATGAATAATGCAAGTTTTGAAGGTGGAGGGTGGAGGATGCTGGTTAGATGTTGAACAAATAAGCATCTCTAGGCTAGACGGGAAACGGGATAGATGACTTCAGCAAAGGGCTTTTGTGGACCTAGGAGCTGGTGTATGGGCAATGGGCTAAGTTGCTCGGACTCGGGTGCGGGTATCCGAGACGGATGCGAATTCGAGAGTCGGATTCTGCAAAATTTAAATTTTAAGATTTGGGGATGCGAATCCGAGTATGGATTCGCCCTCCACATGGGTAATCCAACGGATTCCTTCGGCGGCCTTTCATAAACTTGCCTGGGTTAAACTATGTCTGACCTTAATCTAACTATTTAATCTGTCAACATAATAAACACAACGCCACCTTATAGTAACTTAGTATGCTATAGCTCAACACAAACAGTTTAGCCCATCATTGGGCTCAGCACATAAAGAAATGCAAAGTAGTAAAAAGAAAAGTACCTTATGGAGGACTCCCAAAATATCAACCAAATTGCAAACTTTTATTCAAACTTTTAAAAGAAACTCAAAAAATGTTACAAAGAGAGAGAGAGGGGGTTCTGAAACCTGCCTCATTACTACAACTTAAGTCCTCTTATATAGAGATAGAAAACTTAAAAACGAATAAAAAGATGGCCCACACTTTTTTTAATGGCCAATAAGAAAACGATCAGACCGACAATATAATATGGCCTTTGCTTATACACTTTGGCCAGCTCCACCTGCCTTAATAAAAGTTTTGGCATATTACATGTGGCCGACAAACTTTTTTCTAGCTTTATTAAAGTCTTCATTATTTTGTCTAAGGGGCCCTTATTCTTTGGCTTTTCCTTTGACAGTTGTAGATGTGCTGGAAGATTCTTCCAATTGTTGTTGAATTTTGCTGAAGAGAGCGTCTAAATCTACGTCTTCATTGCTATCAACGTCTTGGCCTTCTCCCACTAGACATGTGACATCATCCTCATCGTTGGTATGACTTGCTGAAGTCATGGAGATATCATCCTTAATATCAATATCCAGATTTTTCATTAAATCCTTTTTAACTTCTTCCATGTATAAGGCTATAGCCTCTGATCTAGAAACAATTCCCCTTTTCATGTGGAGTTTTCGTGAGATCTGCTTAAAGGGGCTCAGAGAATCCTCTTGTGGTTCAGATGTTTCTTGAACATGACAATTATTAATCTTATCATTTATTAGATCCATGATTTCTTGACCATGGACTTTGCCATCAAGGTCTTTGTTGATTAATTTACTCCAAAACTTTGTATAAAAAGTTCGTAGTAAACAAGGGAATCCTTCAGAAGTGCTATTAACTTCAACATTCCACTTCATAATCCATTGAACGGAGAATTCTATAAAAAAAATACATTACCGCCATTCCTTCGAAGAAGATATTATCTTGTGCCATACTCATGAGTTTGGGAGATATATCTACCCATTCTGCGTATAAGCTTTTGTATTGATCCGGTAAATTTTTTATTGAAGGACCGTATAAAGTCCACCATTTATAAAACCAATTTGGGATTGGTTGAGTAAAGACATTAGAACAAATCTTTATAAACCAAGAATGTTTTTTATTGACATTTTCATATAATAACGCTTTATTAAAGCTGTCCACGTAATCCCAGTAATTATATTTAACTGCGACTTTCTGCTCCGGATGGATATAATCCCTTTCCTTTGATGGGCTCATTCCCCATTCTTCAGGAGTAATAATCTTTTTTATAATGATTTTGGAAAAGTTATAAACTTTTCTGGTAGTAGTAGGGTAAAAATGCTGAAATTCTGCTGACCCTGTTGATGAGAGTATAATCTCATAATGCATTCTGTATATATACGCAGTCATAGTATAACAGACTGAGTCTAAATTCCTGGCCATTAGCTGCCATGGATCATGCTTCCATAGTAAATCATTATATTCTAAAAGAAGTATAACTTCCTTTTTATCATTTTGGTCAAATACTTCTGTCGTCTCTACCTCTATTAAGGCTGAGGAATAGGTCGGAGGATTATTTTCGGATCCTTTTTTGGATTTCATAAAATCCATAAATTCCTTGTACATTGGGTGGTCTGTATTAATACCACTGCTGCTTGATGAAGCAATATTTGTTGATACTAATTACTTATTCCCTATTTGGGAAAGGATATGACCTCCCCTTCCAGTTGTTCCAGCTATGTCGCGTCCTCTTCCCCTTCTTGGAGGGGGCCATGAGGGTCTCATCCTGGAAAAGGCAGATTTATAATTAGTTTAGATATTCTCTAGTAAGAAAGTTTGGAAGACTATTATCTTCACCTTTTTTATATTATATTTCAAAATCAAAAGGGGATAGTAAAGCTTGCCATCTTGCAAACATTTGTTTAGAAACATCATGTTTACAATCTTTGTTAAACATAAACTTAGTTGTTTGGCAATCAGTTTTTATTAAAAACTTTTGATTATAAAAATCACCTTAAAATTTAAGAACACATTTTACAATAGCTAAAATTTCTTTAGCTATAGTGGCATAATTTTTCTGGGCTGTATTACATTTGCCAGAATAAAATTGAATGATATAATGACGTTTATTATCATGACAATATTGAGTTAATACTCCACCATATCCTATATCTGAAGCATCCGTTTCTACCGTTTTTGCCCAATTTGGATTGGCCAACGTTAGACAAGGAAGGTTTTTAACCTTCTCTTTAATTCTTTTGACTGCTTCAGTATGATCATCTGACCATGCCTTAAGATTATTTTTCAGTCTGCCATATAAAACAACTGTATCTTTTGCCAAATCCTTTATAAAAGGAGCAACATAATTAAGACTCCCAAGAAATCTCTGCAACTGAGTCTTGTTAGTAATAACATTAGGAAATTTAGAAGCAAATTCAATACTTCTATTGATGGGGCTGATATTTCCTCTTTCAATATTATGACCAAGAAACATGACATTTGTTTTAAACAAAGCCATCTTGGGTTGTGATAAAACCAAGTCATTTTGTATAATTATCTTTTTAAATAATTCAAGATGTTTAAAATGAGTTTTCACATTTTTGAAAAATACTAAGATATCATCTATATAGACTATTATGAAATTACTGTAGGGTATGAATATATCATTCATTATTTTTTGAAATTCAGATAGGGCGTTCTTTAAACCAAAAGGCATAACATTCCATTCAAATTGCCCCATTGGCACATTAAAAGCTGTTTTGAACCTATCTGACTCAGTTATCTGAATGTGCCAATAACCTGATTTTAGATCAAATTTAGAAAATATTATAGCATCATAAACTCAATCTAATAAATCATTTTTATTAGGAATAGGATACCTGATCCATCGTAATGCTTTATTAAGTAGTTTATAATTTATTACCAGTCGAGGTGCTTCTCTTTCTTGCTCAGCATGTTT